AGTGATAGTGTGCACATGTATGTACACATGTGCATACAGGAATGCAAGGGAGCTCTAACCCAGCACCACTACTGGGGCCTCTCTCAGACCCCCAGCACCCACACGGCAGAGCCAGTTCCCTGCATATGGAAGTCACAGGCTGCTCAGTGTCTTCATCCCTACTCAGCTGGGGGAAGGAGAGGATATGTCCTGTCATCACCGGGGTGACCACACACTGGAATGCTGGCTCTGCTTCTGATGTATTGTGTTGCCTTCAGCAAAGGACAAGAAAGGGATTGAAACCACAAGTTCATACCCTGTGCAAAAGCCCAGAGAGAGCCTTCCATGGGGGCCAGCCAGAAACACAACTGTCCTAGAGCTTACCAGCTGAGCATCAACTTCTGAGTGTGTGTGTGTGCATATGTATGGAGGCGCACATCGACTTCAGCTCTTGTTCCTCGGCTTCTGTTCTTCTTGTTTTTCTGTCTGACTTGGGGCTGACCAATTAGACCAGGCTGGCCAGCAGCCCCACCCACCTGTGCCTACCTCCGATTTCTGCTGGAATTACAAGCATGTGCCACTGTGTCCCCCTTTTTTATGTGGGTTCTAGTGACTGAACTCAGAAGTACTTTACCAACCAAGCCATCTTCCCAGGCTTACCACCCTCTTCTAAATAAAAGGATTTACTAGGGCATCGTCTTTCCCTTTCCAAACTTGAATATCTCTAATATGGCTTTGGAAAACTCCAGGATAAACTGACAAGGGCAAAATTGCTCAATCCATGACAATGAGCTTGCCTTGAACCTGGATCTGGAGGGAGAGGCCATCGGGAAAACAGGTGCGCTCACCCTGCAAGGCATTGTTCACTTTATTCCACTCGTGAAGAGAGAGGGGTCCTGAAGCCAGGGCCCAACGCCTGCAGTCTTGGAACTCTGCCCTTGCCAAACCGCAGTGAGACAGATAACTGCTAAGCCTAGCTTCAAGAACACAGGGGAAGGCAGTTCTGGAAGCTGCACTGAGCAGCATCATGTGAGAGATCAGGAGTTGAAGCTTCCCTGCCTGTTCCCTCAGGACCACTCTCGGGAGCCAGCTCCATGGCCAGGAACCAGAGTCTACTGTGTGCACATGAAGTGAGTTCTCCTCCATGGAAAACAACAGATCCGAAGCAGACACACATGCCATGTGAACCTTTCCTTCCACGGCCAGCTTTGCAAAGAGGTGTCATTAACCCAGCCATCTGCTTCCTCTGCTTCTTGTCCACTTGGCTGGAGATCCCACAATTCTAGAGTGTTATCAGTGACCTGCCTCTGATATAAATGACCAGACAGAGCAGGAACTTGCTGCCCACAGTTGTGTGACAGGGAGCAGTGCTGGGAAGGCTAGCCCAGTTGAAATAAGCTGTATACCCACAGCATGTCCACTAAAGAGTGAATCAGGCCAGGTGTGGATCCCTACCTACAATCCCAGCTGTCAGGAAGCTGAGGCTGGAAGGTAACAAGTTCAAGGCTTACCTGAGCTGCATAATGAGACCTTGTCTCAAAAGGCAGAAAGGGGCAGGGGAGATTGTTCAGTGGGTAAAATGCTTGATGTGCAAGCACAAGGACCTGAGTTCAAACTCCAGAACCCATAAAAACAGGGATAATTATAAGTCCACAAGGCCCCCACTCTGAGATGAAGAACCACAGTAGATTGTTGCTGAGAGATGAGGGATCAGTCTTCTCCAGGGAGGAGGCCCTGATAGGCCATCCAATCCCAAGTGGACAGACCAAAACCCACGTACATATGAGTGACACTAAATGGACTCTGTAGGGTGTGTGTGTGTGTGTGTCAGAGGAGCTGGGGAGAAAGGAGGTGGGGAGCGGGGCGAAGAAGGGATATACTTATGTATGAAATTTTAAAATAAAAATAAAAATTTAAATTAAATTACAAACTTGTAATCCTAGTCCTTAGGAGGCAGAGAGAATGGACCCTGAGGTTCCCTGGCCTGCCTCCCTGAGGCTCGCTGAATGTCCAGCTGAGACTGCTTGGTGAGTTCTAGGCCAACGAGAGATTCTGCCTCAAAAAATCAAGGTATATAGTGCCTGAGGATGACTCCCTAAATTGACCTCTGACCTCTACACAGGTACCTGTACACACACAAGAGCACGTTCCTGTACATACACAAAAAGAAAAAAAGACAGCCTGTCTCAGTGGCAATTCACCATAGGACAAGGGAGTTCCCATCCAAGGAGCAGAAAGGGGCCACAGGGGTGCCCATGACCCACCCAGAGTCAAGCAAGAGTCCTAGAGTAGCCTCCAGGCAGCCGCCTTTTACTGTGAACCCTTCTCTCTGCACCTACTGAGGTTTTAACCATGTGAATGCCACACTCATTCAAAGTCAAATCCCAAATGACAGGGGAAACGGATGCACAAACTCAGGTTAGAACAGGTACAAAGACGACTCAGTCAGTAAAGCGCTTGCCTCCCAAGCACCAACTCTGAGCTCAATCCACAGCACCGAAGGAGCCAGTAGTGACAGCGCATGCTTGCAATGCCAGCGCTTTAGAGGCGGAGACAGGTGGATCCCTGGGACTCACTGGCCAGTCAGCCTCCCTGAATCAAGTTCCAGGTTCAAAAGAGACTGTGTTTCGGAACATAAGCTAGATGGTGAGGAATATCCCAAAGGTTAACCTCTGGGGTGGGTGGGTGGGTGTAGGTGTGTGGGTGTAGGTGTGTGTGTGTGTGTGCGTGTGTGTGTGTGTGTGTGTGTGTGTGCGCGCGCGCACGTGCAATATTTCAGTCAACCGTTTCCCCCTGGTGACCAGAGTTGTTTCCCCATGAAAACACTGCTACCAGCTGGACAAGGGAATCCTGTGACTGTCATAGCCAATTACCATGGCCTGGCACCTAAAGCAAGAAGTGAAGCAAGAATTGTTTTTCTCAATACTTCCAAAAACTCAGAATCAAGAAGTAAAACCAAGGTGTCCAGACTGCGTCCCTCTGAAGCTCTAGGGGAGATGCTTCCTGCTTCTCAGTAGTCCTGTGATGCTAGGCATCCCTTTCTGGTCATCACGACACTCCATCTCCACTGCTGTGGCAGGTAACCTCTGTGTGTGTCCCAATCTTACCTCACCCCCTCCTCACAAGGGCACATATGCCACTTAGAGTCCCCTAGAAAATCCAAGGTCATATCCTCGGAGCCAAACAGGCACCGTTTTTATTGCAATATCTGTGCCTACATACAAGTGTCAATCATAATCGTGAGGAGGGGGGTGGTGAGGGTCACTGAACCTTCCTGTGAGGTTCCAGCCATTCCTCCTGGGCATCTTATGCAGTCTGCTCTCATTTCATGAGGCCTAGGGAGTCAGGGGTACTAGGATACATAGACTGGGGAAAGCCAGTTGAGGGTTCCATCACCCATGCTCTGTAAGCCCAATGAGCTCACTGAATCCCTAGGGGAGCTTTGATGGAATTGAACTTTGTTGCTAGAACCTTAAAAGGAGTCGGTAGCTGACATTTATATGTCCCCAGGGAAGGAATTCTCTCAACATCAAGTTAATAACATCTGATGTCCTATGCCATATGGAGGCTCATTCTCGGGTCCCAGGGATTGGCTCATGTGTACCATTAGAGGCCCTTATTCCCAACCAGACCAGGTAGGACTATACTGGTTACTTTTCTAGTCACCACGATCAAATCCCTGACAGAAGCAACTTAGGGGAGAAGCCTTTCATTGTGGCTCACTGTCAGAGGGAGTCAGCTCCCTGTGGCAAGGACACAGGATGGGCTGGGTAGCTCCATGCATGGTGGCGGGAGCTCGTGGTAGATCAGAAATCAGAGAACATGAATCAAAAGTGAGGAGAAGCTATAACCCCCAGAGACCCACCTCCGCCAACCACGTCTCGGGGCTCATAGCTTCTACAAACTTCTACAATGAAACACCAGCTGAGGATCAAGAGTTCAGACACGAGAGAGCTTGTAAGACAGTACAGGTGCCTGCTGTCCAGCCTGGTGACCTGAGTTCAATCCCCAGGACTCATAGAGAAAAGAGAAAAACAATCCCTGAAAGCTGTACTCTTATACACATGCACACACACACACAAACACACACACACAAATGTGAATACTGAATAAAAATGCAAGCAAAACTAGGCACATATAAGCTTATAGGGTGAAAATCACATTCAAATGCTAACCGAGAGGAGTCACACTGGCCTCCTATGTCATTTGTGGGTTGATACAGACAAAAAAAATACATATTTTTAGGTGGGTCTCATGTCATCTAGACTGACTTTGGACTAACTGTGCAGCTGAAAAAATGCCTTGAACTTCTGATCCTCCTGCCTCCACTTTCCAAGTGTTGGGATTACAGGTGTGTTCCACCACACCTGGTTTTTGTGAAACCTCACACTTCACTGCAAACACTTTATCTATTACACCATCTCCTAACCTCCAGTTCTTGGTTTTGTTTTTGAGACAGGGTATTACTCATGTAGATCTGAATAGCCTTGAAGTCACAGCAATCCTCCTGCCTCAGCCTCTCCGATTACAGGCATACACTACCACACTCAGATAAAGCTTTCTGGCTTTTGCAATCATTTATATAATGAAATTCCCAAACACAGCACTGGACCTCTTCCTGGCTCCCAGGTTTCTCTCCACAAAATAACAAACTTCTATCCCACTCTGTTGTTCTGATTGTTTCAGAGACGATAAGGCCGACACTGTCATATGAAAGACACTGGAACATTCAACCACAGGACAAAAGGCGTTATTACTGTATCTTACTACAAGCTTGAGCATGTGGAAGCTGTGAATCCCAACTCCATAACTGGGAAAGATGGCTCAACCCTCCCCTATGACCAGGGACATGGCTCCTGCACTGGTCCAGATGGGCACATAGCTCTGTATTGTAGAAGCTGCCCCTTCCTTGGGGGCCCACAGGAAGCAATCAATAGCCTGTTTCTCCCAAAGCCAGCATCCCCAAGGCTGCCAGCATGATTCAGCCAGGAGGGATGGTGTATAAACTGAGCCATGCCTACCTCCTCTCGTTGTCATCCAGGTGTGAGAAGAGCACATTCTTGGAAATGGCCTTAGCCAGTGCAGTCATGGTCTTATAGTCCTTGGGAATGACCTGTGGAGAAGCCAAGGAGCAGAACTTTTAGCCCTGGGAACAGAGCTAGCATCCCAAACTTCTGCTAGAAACTAAGGAAATAATCCACTATTCTGCCATTCTCATGAGACTAGTGTCAGGCCATGCAAAAAGACCATGTTAGGGAGTGTCATGTATATTTTACTTTAAATTTTTTTAATTACGTTTATTTATATATTGGGGTAGGGTTCGTATGCTATAGTGTTCATATGGAGGTCAGCGATCAATCTGCCAGAAGAGAGTTCTCTTTCCACCATGTGAATTCTATGTATCTAATTCAAGTCATTTCGTTTGTAGCAAGCATGCTGACCTCCTGAGGCATCTTGCCAGCCCACCTTTAGAAAAATTTCAAACAAATAAAAAGTGAGAAAACTAGAGTAGACCAATAAGAGGCTAGGGCACAGTCTAATCTTTAGAGTTTGGAACTGTTTGGGACCTCTGGCTCTTTAGAACTTCAGAGCCGTCCAAGAAGGTACCAGAAGACTACCTTTTGTTGATTTTTTTAACCTCACTAAATTTGTAGAAAGATGATAAGCAGGTGTTTAAATATTAGAAGACTGGGAGTGTAGTAATACAGTGCTTTCCTAGACTCCCCCAGTGAGGAGTTTGGGGTGTGGCTCAGTAGTAGAGCACCTGCCTAGAACTCCTCAGTGAGGGGCTACAGTGTGGCTTAGTGGTAGAGCACCTAGGCAGATTCTCTACCACTAAGCCACACCCCTGCCCCTCACTGGAGGATTCTAGGCAAACATTCTATACTGTGCCATGACCCTCACCCATTGAGCTTTAAGAGTCCTACTGGATTCATAATGGGTAAGTTGCATCCATGTTTTAATCTAACCTCTTTAGTTTTTTTAGATGACTTTCTCCCGTCACAGGACCTTGTCAGGTGACGTTCAGTATCTTACCACCTTGGTCTCCTCTGATTTGTGACATGCCTCATGGTTCTCTGCTTTTGATGGCCTTGGATCTGTGTACCACATGGCAGTCTCTGCATATAGCCCCTGACTATGAGACTACCTGAAGCTTTGCACACAGTCAAACTGTAGCTCTAGGAGTACGGAAGAGGACCACAGAGGGCAAGTGATCTAAGGAGTTTCTTTGTTTTGATCTTGCTATGTAGCCCAGGCTGGCCGGCATTTCTGGCATGCATTACCATACCCGGCAACTTCCTGATGGATTTTACCATAATGCCAGGATTTTTATCATCTACTCATACAGTATTAAATCCTGGGATGAAGGCAGAGAGGGGTGGGTATTTAGAGGCTGAAGTGTTTATGTTTTTCAAGATGAGAAACATTATGTATACTGATGAGGGTGACAGCGGCACAACACTGTGAATTATCAACACTACCCAGCTCTGCACCTAAAAATGACTAAAATAGGCTGAGCTGTGCCTCCCAAATTCTGCTGTGGGACCACCAACGCACCCTCGGGGAGGATTTGCAGACCAGGCCTGTGGGGATGTTTGGGTTGGTGGTGTGTGAGGGTGGAGTCCTGGCCTTATAACTTAGTGCCCTTAATAGACAAGAAGGCGCGTAGCAGGACAGAACTACAGCCTGCTTTGTACTGGAAAACCCCATCCGTCTTCTCCTCACTCCTGTTCGAGTCCTAAAACTAAAAGGAGCTGCCAAGACCCCACACACACAAGAACCACATCAAACACTATTTGGTTCATAGTGGCAATGGTGACAGTAATCCCACACATAACCAAGTCTCCCAACCCATGGGGGCCCCATGCGCTAGGCAGACAGGAAATGGAGATCCCCGGGGCTGACAAGGACATCTCGGGTGTGTATGGAAATATGATGGGGTTCTTTACCTTCCTCACATAGGAAACAGCATCCTCTTCAGTGTAAACCTCAGCGCTCACACCACCCCGCCTGCGGCGAGCCTTTACCACAGGGTTTGGAGGTGTTGGAGAGATCTCCTCATCATGGGAATCAGACTGTGAGTTTGACTTCTGCCGAGCCAGGATCTGCCTATTTTCCTCCTATGAGAGAAGAAAGGGAAGTTGAGAAATTGGCTGTCATCTGAGCGTGGTAGCTAAGACCTGTCATCCCAGCTACTCAGGAGGCTGAAGCAGGAGGATCAGAAAATTCAAAGTCAGCCTGAACTGAAAGTGAGACCCTTGTCCCAAAATTCAGAAGAGAACTGGGGATACAGTCCAATGGCAGGGCACCTGCCTAGAATCCCCCAGTGAGGGCCTGGGGTGTGGCTCCGTGGTAGAGCACCTGTCTAGCATCCCCCAGTGAGGGGCTGGGGTGTGGCTCAGTGGTAGAGAACCTGCCTAGAATTCCCCAATGAGGAGCTGGGGTGTGGCTCAGTGGTAGACCACCTGTCTAGCATCCCCCCCAGTAAGGGGCTAGAGTATGGCTTAGTGGTAGAGTGCCTGCCTAAAACTTCTCAGTGAAGGGCAGAGGGTATGGTACGGCTCAGTGGAAGAGTTCTTGTCTAGAATCCCCCAGTGAGGGGTGGGGTCATATCTCTACACTGGAGCATTGGCTTAGCATGTTCAAGGCCCTGTCCCCAGCATCTCCAGAGAGCAGCTGTCCTAACAAAGCCTAGCCTTAGAGTCCTGTACATGGAGACAGGGTCCCCAGGGTCTTCAGGATGAAGCAAGTGACTCAGCTCACTGCACAAGCTCCTGATCATCATCATCATTCCTGGAGGACCCTTTTCCCTCAAATGCAATTGATGTCTCCTCTCCTACCACCCTTGGTGGTGAAAACTATCACTTCAGAACCTATAACCACTGTATGGTTAGCCCCTCTCCCCACCATCCCTCCAGACAATGGCTCCTTCTCCTGCCAGGCCCTGGGCATCTCCACATTTCCTTTCTCCCAAGTGAGCAACTCTCCCAGCCATAATGCTCACCTCAGACCCTCTTCTCTTCATTTCTGTACAGAGAAAGTTTGTTTCTGAGCCTGACTCAGGTGCCTGATGCCAACCTCCCAAACTCTGAGGTCACTACTAAGCACCCTATGGGGGCTCTACCCACCCTGAACCTTGGTCATTCACCCATAGTCAACAGGACCTACTTGTGGGTGCCTCACTCTGCCCCTACCATATGGCCATTCACAGCTCCCTCTGATGGTTGTTCTGCCCCTTGTTCTGCCCCAGGGCCTTTGCCCTTGCTGATCCAGAGTCCTGAGATGCCTAGAGCTCCATGTGGCCCCACCTCTCATCTGGCCTCAGAGACACAGCACTGGCTTAGGAAAAGCACAGAGTGGATGTTAGAGAGCTCACCTTATACCCCTTCCCCAGGGGAGCACATGAGGCCCAGGAAGCCAGGTCCTGCTCAGGCTGTGCTGTGTCCTTCTTTGTGTACGACAGCTTTTCCCTGACCTCAACAGTGGTCACCCTCTGTGAATGTCCAGAGAGGAGTCCCACTTATGGGAGATGCTCAATCTGAGCCCCAATTCTGCAGGGAGAAGTGGAGGCCAGAGCAGGTTGGCCACCCATTCTACCCATTCAAACCCCTTCTCACCTTCCTGACTCCTCACAGTTCTCTCCACAGCCCTACCCAGAGCGCTCCCAGCACCTTGAATGCCCCCTGCTCCATTATCCACCTCCAGCTCAGTCAGGAGTCTTCCTGGTAGAACAAGATGGCAGGATGTTCTCTGTTCTTCTTAGAGAGACCCATGGTGTCCTCCTGTTTTCTATCAACTGCAGTCTGGGAATATTAATGGAAATTTCTAGAAATGAAGAGTTCCTAAGTTGTTGGGTTTTGTTTTTGTTGGTTTTTTATTTGTTTGGGGTTTTGCTTTTTGCTTTGTTTGATCATTTTTGCAGGGCTAGTAATAGAAGCCAGGGCCTCATGCATGTTAAGTAAGCTCTCTACCACTGAGCCAAGTTGGGGCCTTTCACTGGGGTATTCCAGGCAAGTAACCAACCACAGAGCCATGCCTCTTGCCCTGTGTTTGCTTTAACACACTATGTTGCCCATGGTGGTCTTGAACCCATAATCCTCCAGCCTCAGCTTCAGGAATAGCTGGGGTTACTTTCTCATCCTCTTTCCCAAGACCCTCATGACTCCTCTCAGCTCTTGGGACACCCCCAACCCAGAGCCCTTCCTGTACCATTAATATGATGGAGTGTTCTACCAGGTTGGAGGCTCATGGATTCCCCCCAGTGCATCATTGGTGGATGTGGAAATTAGATGGGCTGGCTGCTGCTTTCCAATAGCCCCAGATGGAGCCCACCCAGTCCAAGGCTGAGACCACAGCTCCAAGATGCCCATCTTCAAACACACAGTATGTAGGATCCTGGAAGATAACTACAGTGCCCCGTAAAGTCAAGGCTAGGTCTCTTCCTATGATCCTGAATCTCCTGGCAACCAGGTCGGGTGGTGGTGGCGCATGCCTTTAGTCCCAGCACTGAGGAGACAGAGGCAGGCAGATCTCTGTGAGTTCAAGGTCAGCCTGGTCTATAGAGCGAGTTCCAGGACAGTTAGAGCTGTTAAACAGAGAAACCCTGTCCTCAAAAACCAAAAACCAAACAAACAAACAAAAAGCCCTCTCAAACACGCAAACAGAAGAAAAGAGGCTGTGAGAACTCACAGTACCTTAGCTTCCTGCTGGTTATGAGGTTTGTAGCAACCTAGGCTGTCCCAGTGAAAAAATAAAGAGCAGGACTAGGCGTATGGCTCAGATAGAATGCTTGTCTTCAGAAAGCCCTGGGTTCTATCCACGACACCACATAAAACAGTGCTCCTGTAATCCCAGTACTCAGGAGGTAAAGGAAGAAGGATCAGGAGTTCAAGGACAGTCTCTATTACATAGCAAATTTAGAGCCAGCTTGCAATATGCATGAGATCCTGTCTAAAACAACAAAAACAGGGCCCTAACGTGGAAAATTCCAGCTGACCTTTGTGGGAACCAGAGTATAGGAGACCTTGTCAAACAGACCTGAGCAGGCATGGCTGCACCAGAGATGCCAGGTGTCAGCCAAGCCCTGGCAGCACTGTGTAGAACTCCCAACCCCATCTTTGTGACATGTGACAGCTGGGGCCCACTCCTCACAGTGTTGGGTGTAACAGGCTACCTGCTGCTCTAACCTAAGGGTCCACATCTCCACCTAACAGCATGGCCAGGAGATGGGCCCATTACCTACCTTGGATCTTCACCACAGTGACTGGCTGAGTCTCAAATCTGTGGATCCTGAACACCCAGCCAGGAAACCACAAAGAACATTCAATGCAGTTCTGTAAAGCTGTTTAAAAATATCTTTTACACAATTTCCCGAAAGAAGACAGCAGGTGGGTGAGGACCTCCCCTTCCTCCAGACACTCCACTCTAACCATAGTACATTAAATATGCACATATACAAATCGACACCACCAAGGAGAATGGGAGAGACGCCTGCCGCCTGCCGTCGAGAAGTCTCAGGAGATTCCAGGAAAAGGGACAGGCAACTCGGGAGTGGGATCCAGGACAGGCCTGGGCATCCCTGGCTTCAGGAAAGGAGTGACCTGCCCTGCAGAACCCCCCTGGAACACAGTAGAGCCCAGCACAGTCCCCAGGTGAGGAAGGTAGGACCAAAATCCAGAACCTGGGCTTGTCCTGCACTGGGCCAGCTCCACAAGCATTCACTGCTTCCTTTGGCTTAGCTTTTATTATGGAAATGTTCAAGATAATACAAAAGTATGACTCACCAAACACCCAGAGCCCAGATCTACCCAGGATCAAAGGAGACCCACTCCTCCTCCACCACCCCACTCAGTCACGCATGCACGAAGAGAACATAAGATGCCACCGTGTAATTTGAGCAACATGTCATTAGGAAAGTGAAATTCTGCTTGCTGGTTTGTTGACATAAACAACATCAAAACAAATAATGTATCCCAGAAATGATGCCATCGCCACACACCCCAAAGCTAGGCAGGCTTCATTTATAGAGTGTGGCAGAGGTTTACGTCCAAGGATATCCAGCAGCACAACATCTAACGGGAAGCCCTTCCATGTTCCTGAGAGCCCAGTTCTCCATGGCCCTAGGATCTTCATCTCCTCCTCCTCACTCCCCACCCCCTCACTCCCCACCCCCACAGGCTACATTGGAAGGTAAGATTTGAAGATAGCCCAGCTAGAGTCAGGCCTGATAAAATATGTCTGCCTGCCATCCCAGTACTGGGAAGGCTGAGGCAGAAAGACCATGGGTTTGAGGCCAACCTGAGCTACACAACAAGACCCTACCTCAAGAAACAAACAGGGTGGAGAATGCAGTTCTGTTGGTAGAGGGTTTGCTTAGAGGGCATGAGGCCCTGGGTTTGATCCTCAGCACCTCACAAACAGAGAATAGTGGCAGACATCTATAATCCTAGTCCTCCAGAAGGCCTGTCCTACAGTGAGTTCCAGAACTGCCAGGGGTATATAATAAGACACCATCTCAAAATCAAAAATGAAAAGCAAATAAACAAACTAAAAGGCTGACTCACAAGCCCCGGAATATGAGTGCAGCCCCCAGCATGAGTGGCTGACTCATTTCCACATCCCATGCCTTCCCTACACAGTGAAACACACCTAGTCTACGCCCATTCTCTGTGGACCTATCACGTACCAGGGTTGGTGAGCCTACGTCCCACTCAGATCTTGGGGTTGAGCCACAGGGAGGTGCAGTATGAACTCCACTGGCACTGGCTACCTCATCTCACGCTGAGCCTGGTGCTCTAGAACCTTAGGCCAAGCAACATCACACTGTCCTGTTGTCTTGACAACCAACCTCAGCATCTCTGAGCTGAGTGTCATTCTCTTATATCTCTCCCCATCAGAGCAAATCAACAACTAATCCTGGAACTAATCTTGTACACTCAGAAAGGTCGTTGCTGAGTGGAGGGGGGGGGTCAGAAGAGTTGCTCTCAGGTGCTGCTCACTTTTTTTTTTTTTTTTTTTGGTTTTTCGAGACAGGGTTTCTCTGTGGCTTTGGAGGCTGTCCTGGAACTCACTTGGTAGTCCAGGCTGGTCTCGAACTCACAGAGATCCGCCTGCCTCTGCCTCCCGAGTGCTGGAGGCACACACACACACACACACACACACACACACACACACGGGGTAGGGGGGTAGGGAGAGGGAGAAGAGGGGGAGAGGGAGAGGAGAGAGAGTGAGCACACACAAATCCCAATACAAAAAACATTTGCTGTGGCAAATGCCAACTTGAGACAATCTTTTCATATAGCTATCTTGTGTTAAAATGGCGCCGGACCAGGTTTGGAGCCTGGGCATCTATGGAGCACAGCCACACTCCTCTCCCAGATGAAGTGAGGAATCTCACAAGGCTGATCACTTCCTTTACGATGCAGATGCTCCACCCTCCTGTATCCCATGAGCTAGTCCTGTCAGGTCCCTGGGGACCTACCCTGTAAGTTCATTTAGATTCTTCAGCAACCCTTTGAGGACACCACCAAACCCCACCAAGATAACGTATTTAACTGTCATAAAAACAAGGAGAGGTGACCCTTGTTTGAGAAGCCTACGCTCGATCTCTGGGTGTGTTGTAATTCTGTCCCCAAGTGTCTCTCTTTCTCTTAACTCCTGCACTTAAATAAATCTGTTTAAAATGTCTACTAGAGTCAGCTGCCCAATGACCAGAATGTGATTCCCCAGGAAAAAGAAGATGGAAGGAAAGAAGCAATTCCAAGTTGTCCTCTGACGTCCCTGTGTAAGTGAACACACCCCAATAAATAAATGTAATTAAAATTCTTGTAATTATTTTATCTCATGTACATGGATGTTTTGCCTGCATGTATGTCTGTGTATATGTGTGCCTGGTGCTCAAAGAGGTCAGAAGGGAGCATCAGACCCCTTGGAACTAGAGCTATAGATGGTTTGTGAACCACTATGTGGGTGCTGGGAATGGAACCAGGTTCCTCTGGAAGAGCAGCTGGGGCTCTTACCCACTGAGCCATCCCTCCAGCCCCAGTAAATATAAATGTGTGACAATAAACCTCAACTCTGCTTCCCACTGGCCCATCCTGAAATCTTTTCTGCTATGAGGCCACAGGTCTGATTTTGTCAGAATCAAGGTCTCTACAAGATAAGAAGAAATCCTCCAGCTTCTGTGGATCACAGTGTGGAGCGTACTGTACCTCTGTCCCGCCTTCAATGGCAGAGTTCCCTTTTCTGGAAACTTTGTGTCAATGAAATCTCTTGCCCATGGTCTCCTGTGTCTGGCTTCTTTCACTAAGCTTTGTGTTTCCAGAGTTCATCCATCTTGTTCCTTTTCATGGCTGAGTCATATTTCATTATAGCCTCTCAGTGTTTTCTTCCATTCATGGCTGACTAATATTCCACTGTGTGGGCATACCACAGTTTGTTTAGTATCTTAGCTACTGTGAGCAATGCTGCTACAAGCATTCATGATCAGATAGATGTGCCTGGATACTTGACTGTATTAAAAAACAGCTCTCATGGGTCAACAGGATGTATTAGTACAAGAAGAGGCTTGCCTCCAAGCCTGACAACTTGAATTCAGTCCCTGGAACATGCATCTTTGAAGGGGAGAACCAATTCCTGCAAACTGTCTTCTGACTCCATCTGTCTGGCTACATAAGCAGGCTGTGTGAAACCCACCACAGTGGAGTCTTTTCTTAGCTCGTTTGTTTTTGGTGTTGACTGTAGTGGGGACTAAACACAGGGTCTCACGCTTGCTGGGCATGTGCTCTGCCATGGAGTCACACCCTGACCTTGGGCACACTTTCTACCGTGGTCATTGGTAGAACAAACCGAGCTGGTGTTGACACAAAGGAGACAGTAGAGTTCCAGAGTGGGATTGATGATCCAAGTAGTTCTAAGGGCAATGGTAGCAAGGGATGTCTGAAAAGCTTAGAGGCCAGGGGCAGAAATCAGGAACCATGGGCTCCAGTCACAGGAAGACCCAAGGAACTACTAAGACTCAAAAGCTGAGGGTCCTGACACCCAGGACCCAAGAGCTCTAACACTCACATCCAAGACCAGTTCAGAAGCAGAGATACCAACAGATGTCGCCCTCTGGTGCTGCTGCCCCCCTGTGGCAGCAACCGGTGGGGGTTGGAAGGTACAATAACTGCTACATGAGAAAGGTGAAAGCCCAGAGCAGAGAGCCACCTAGCATGAACACCTAGAACTGTCCCTGCTCTTGATGTAGGGATGTCTCTGACCTCTGCCTCTGCCCACCCAGCCTCCAGGCTTTAGGTACCCAAGGGCCCAGCATGGCTAGTCACCTACCCACAATTCCTATCTAGATAGAAAAGGACCCCAGCCAACTCATTTGTACCAGCACGTGTGCTTTATCTTATTGAGTATAAGCCCCACTCTGTCTCAGAAACACAGTGTCAGACCACTGCAAACACCAATGGAGAAATTGAATAAGTGAGTGAGTGAATGAGTGAGTGAATGAATGAATGAAAAGGCAACATCTTGCATCACATAAGCCTTCATAATACAAGCTACCACTCAAGCCACCCAGCTACCCTGTGGTGAGGGAGATCAAGAATGAAGATGCAGGGGTCACAGTGCCCCCTATGCCCCCCTATGAGAGACCCCTGAAAGCCCTTCCAGGATCCGTGAGAATTTTAAAAAATGTCATCTCAAATCAAGACATGGGTGGCAATGGCTGAGCCATAATGGCCTTGGCTATGTGATGGAGGCAGGGACGAATTCTGGTTTTGTGAGTCCTTAGACGGTGAGACTATGATGAGACAAATCACTGTTGCCAGACCCATGGCCAAACGGAGACATCTAAATACTCATGGGTCTGCCTGTGCCTACCAGTGGCTCCTGGTACAGGACAGAGGTGGCTCTGCTCCCCTAGGTCCTCCCTTGTGGCATCTGGATACAAGTACACACCATCACAAAGACAAGACACCTCTCTTATATTATCGGGGCCTCGCTCTGTAGGTGACACCACTGGTCCTGGCAAAGAAGGTTTTTCCATCTCAACAGACAGGGGTCAAGCTGAACAGGATACAGTTGTTCCAAACATCAAAGCCACGGTTTCTGGAGTCATCAGGAGGAAGCAAGGTGGGACCGAGTGCCAGGCAGTCTCTCCCAGCCTTGCCCCTGCTTGGCCTCTGGCGAGTGCCAGCAGACTCCCCTGAAACCCCCACTCCCACTTAGGGATTCAGGACTGCCTCTGGCTTTTCAGATTCTCCCCTTCCTGTCTCCTGTTTTTACACTACAGCAGGACAGTCAAGGTCAAGGGTTAGGACAGGCTTTCCCAGCCAAAGGAATTTTCCTAACAAGTGTGGGAACAAGTTTCCAGAAAGCTCCTTCAGAATGTACCCAGGAATGAAGTGAAGAAAGAGGACTGTCCCCATCCTGCCCCCCAGGGACCAGTCAACTTCCTGGGCTCCGAATGATGTTCTCGGACTCAACTGACCACAGTTTGCCTGCATACCCGGACAAAACCACAGACAAAGCAAACACATTGGTGGGGCTGGACTGGACAGAGGTTTCACCCTCCTGAAAGATGCCAGCACACCCTCAGGGGGCGTTCAGAATTCCTCACTCCCACCAGCTCCAGTTGTCCACTTCCCTGGCCTGGAGGACAAGACTCAGGAGGGTCAGAGAGAGGCCATTCCTGAGGGGAGGCATCCTGACTTCGCAGGGCCACCTGGGCCAAGGAGAGCATGAGAGCCACCTGTAGGCAAGGCCCCAGAGGAGTTCTCCATGGAAGCTCAAGGCCATCCCTCTACACACTGAAGCTCCAGGTTTAAAGGAGGAGCCTGGATCTCCTCAAATCCTACCAGGGTAGGCTAGTCACCAACCCTTAAAGAAATCCCGAGAGCCTCTGGGATACAACATGGGAAGATGCAAGTGAATCAGCCCATGTGAGGAAACTGAGGACACAGGAGGGTGAAACACCTGTGGGAGGGGCTTATCTAGCCATTCAGCACTAAGAATAGAAAAGAAACACAATTGTTCAAGTATTTATGAAGCTCCTACTCCAATTCTTACATAGGAAATACAACAGAGATGCCATCAAGGGGAGAGGATCCTACTCCATCTTTGGAAAGAGTCAAGGAAGGCTTCTGGGAGGAGGAGATTTCTAAACTGAACCCAGAATTCAACTGTCACCGTTGAAAAGAAGTGCCAGGAGCAGGGGATGCCCAGCTGAGCAGTTCTGAGTCACACAGGGACACCTCTTTTTCCCATCTGAGACACACAAGAAGTTTGTGACTCTTATGCCTCACCGGATTATCACTTAATTAATCCCCAGAGTGTCATCATTCTTGTGTGTGTGTGTGTGTGTGTGTGTGTGTGTGTGTGTGTGTGTGGTGTGGTGTGGTGTGGTGTGGTGTGGTGTGGTGTGTGTGTGTGTGTGTGTGTGTGTTGGGGATGGAGCCCAGGGCCCTCAGCTTCTGCTTTTAGTGTTTTTCATTTGCTTACTCTGCTTTGTGGAGAGATAGGATCTTTCTATGTATCCCAGGCTAGCTTCAAACTTGAAGCAATTCTCCTGCCTCGGCTTCTCAGACACAGGAATTACAGACCGGCGCCACACGGTCTGCCATGTCTATACTCTGCTTTGCTGTTCTGCTCCATCCTGACTTCTCAGGTTAGACTTGGGGGCTCACCGGTGTCTCCCTTCCATAAGCATTTAACTTAGATATAGGGTGTTTGATATGGAGCTTCTGGGCTAAAGTGGTAACTAGCTTGTGCAAACTAGTCCCAGGTATGTAGGGTTGGCTGAGGATGTAGCTACACTGTGGAGCAGTTGCCTACTGTGCCCCAATGAGGGGGCTGGGATATGGCTCAGTGGTAGAGGCCCTGCCTAGAATCTCCCAGTGAGGGGGCTGGGGGTGTGGCTCAGTGGTAGAGGCCCTGCCTAGAATCCCCCAGTGAGGGGCTGGGGGCTTGACTGAGTTCTGTCCCCAGTAAACACATAACAGGCCAGATGTGAAGGTGCATACTTGTAATCCCAGTGCTGGGAAGTGGAGGACAAGAGCATCCCAGGACTCACTGGCCAGCCTCCTTAGCCGAGTCTGGAACTCTAGGTCTCAGTGAAGAGACTCTGCCTCAAAAACTAAGGTGAGGAAGGATACCTGAAGCTGACCTCTGATTACCCCATGCATGTGCAAAGATGTGCATGTGCCCCCCCCCACACACACACCAAGTTAAAAAGAAAAATTAGGGGCTATTAAGGGCTCAGCCAGGGAAGTGTTTACTTGCAAGCCTGGAAACCTGAGTTTGATTCTTGGGAACCATGTAAAAGTAGACATCGCCAGGCAGTGGTGGCACAAGCCTTTAATCCCAGCACTAGGGAAACAGAGGCAGTTCCTCAAACTCTGTGAGGCCAGCCTGGTCTACAGAGCTAGTTCCAGGAGAGCCAGGACTATCTCAAAAAAAAAAAACAAAAAACAAAAAACAAAAGAACAGAAAACAAGAACAAAGTCACAAAACCAGAGATGACAAAAAGAGACTTAAACCAATCATATCAATTACATTAAATGCTTATGGTCTAGAAATGAGGTAATGCATATATGTGTGTACATTTATGCCTACATGGTAATGAATGGGTCTTATTTAAATTGCAGATAATATCAACACATCAGCTCAATGGTAGACATTATTTTTATTAAACTTAAAAACCTGAAGTCAGAGGGACAGTAGTGGTGCACACCTTTAATCCACAGGGTGATGGTTGAGGCTAGCATCTCAGCGTTCAGGGGGTGGAAACAGGAGGATCAGGAGTTCCT